TCTCTCCATCCATCCATCCATCTATCCATCCATCCATCCATCTATCCGTCAACCACCCACCCACCTATTCATTCATCCATCTTTCTATCCACCCACCCATCCATCCATCCGTCCGTCCGTCCATCCATTCATTTATCCATCCATCCATCCATTCATCCAATCATCCGTGTGTGTATCCACCTACTAATCCATTTTGTATACTTGGAGTTTGGAGTGGCTGTCAAATACATTACTGTACGCGCAAACGTCACTGTTACATCACAGTATTGGGTATCACACCATCGCAAATATTGGTAATTTTATTGCAATACACACAAAACAATTTCATGTACATCATATCAAGGCCTTTGTTGCATATGTTTATCATACAGTTATACTTGAATATGTCTGATCTGATGATGCAAACATTGCTATGCGCAGAAGTAATCACGTGACCGACATTTCGACCAATCAGTGAAGTTCAGATGATGGCCAAAATAGCACCGCTTGAATTAAGTCTCTTATTGATACCCATGAAGCAGAGATGCACGGCTTTTCATAATAGGTCTCCGTTACAAACATACTGATTAAAAATATTAATTGTTCAAAGAGTATTAATTAGGATGTTTTTCGGCTAATTCTGTTGTTTTCGTCGGTAGTCATCTTCCTTATTGCATTATCTGCAAATACAGCGAGTACTGAGAGTTTACAACTACGTCTACATCCGTGAATATGGTAGATGTCACCGTGGAATACAGTTACTACTCAACGAGTTGTTGCAGTGTATGCTTTTCTTTACGTATCTGCTCTTATACGTAACGCTAAATTTGCTTTAATACTACAGTATGCGACTTGTCACAAGATATTTCATATTTTGAACAGTTTCGTGGACAACTATTGTTGTCTATCGTTCGCGTTATTTTAACTCGGATACTTACGTTCAGGTTTTTGAGTCCGATGGCAGACTGTACCAACAATGGGTCTGAAGAAGACCCTATAACTGCCATAACTCATACGACTAGTGAAATCGTACCAGCCAGCGTAACAGAAACATGGCTTACCTCCGCATATATCATGATCGGAACTATTGGTATCGCCGGCAATATAACAGTACTATATATTTTTCTTCGTACTCCAAAGTTGGTATCACTCTCTACATATTTCTTACGTAACCAATCAGTAATCGATCTACTGAGTAGTATACTATTCTTAGTTCTGTTTTTAAGACCAAAGAATATCTTTCCAAACGATAACGGTTTCTTATCGAACATGATCTGTAAATTGTGGTACTCGGAATATCCATTTTGGGCGTTATGTGTTTCGTCCACAGTGAACATAGTATGTCTGACAATTGAGCGATATTTGGCTGTTTTCAAACCGGTTATGTATCGTAGTTCATTTACTAAGAATAAAGCCATATTTCTATGCTGTATAAGCTGGTGTATCGGACCGCTCCACGAAATTGCCTGGGCAACTGCCCATCATTTTGAGAACGGCACTTGCGTAGAAAAATGGGATTCACGCAAGGTTCAGGTCGCCATTGGTTCTATTGTGTTCACAAACCATTACGTCATACCAGTCTCAATAATGATATACGTCTATTGGAAAATAATAGCATACTTTCAAGACGTCAACAAACGACGAGCCTCGAACACAACTTTACGTACAGTTGACGCCGGAATCAAACGCAGTCAGAATGTACGCAAACGCATAATAAAGACTGCATTCCTCGTCTCACTTGCTTATATCTTATGTTGGGGTCCCAACGAGATTTTCTTTCTATTGGGAAACTTTGGAATAATAACTTCTACTAACGGTGTTATATTCAAAATCACAGTGATTTGTGCGGCTTGCAACATGAGTCTAAATCCTTTCTTGTATGCATTGAATTGTAAATGCATCAGACGAAGAGTGCTTAGCAACCCAAAATCTAAGTGCACTAGAAGTAACCTATTAATCATGTATAGGTATTCAAACACGGATGGTTCCTACAACTAACATGGACATTATCCGCATGTTAATTATGATATAATAGAGCCAAAAATAAACTGATTTCGGCATTAAGTACTATAACTTATATTAAAAGATACCACAGGCCGTATGTGCCCACATGAAAAACCTACTGATGTGGCCATTCTCTTCACAATCTGGTGAAACATTCGTTGAGAGCTATGCTACACGATGCATTTTCATTTTTTCTTTTATTCGAACACTGTATTTATCTTTTTTTTGATGATTTATATATAATTTAACAGCGTTAACGGCTATCTTGACTATATATACTGTCTCTTATACACATCTTACAGTTACTACTCAACGAGTTGTTGCAGTGTATGCTTTTCTTTACGTATCTGCTCTTATACGTAACGCTAAATTTGCTTTAATACTACAGTATGCGACTTGTCACAGTAAGGCGATTTACACTTAATCTCGTCACTTTGTTATATTTTTTATAATAAAGTATCTCTTCGGAGATCTCGTCTTAAGTTGCTTAAGAAGAGAGGTATCACATTGATCTCCGTTTAACGTGTGTGCATCAGTGTTGTATTAGCATACCGTAGAGTGCGAACTGAATTGCCTCCAATCGGATTCGAACTGCCAACGAAATCTCAAAGGCCCAGTTGGTTAAGAGCTCTGTATAGACAGCTGAAGGTCCTGGGTTCAAATCCCGGTTAGGGCAATCCGATATATACAAATATATAGTAGTACCAGCAATAACCTGAATTGAATATTATTTACTATTATTTCCAGGCTGCGACCTATAAATTATTTAAGCTTAACCACAGCTCCTGTATGTGCGAGTGTTAGATCTGTGCGTATGCCGAGGTCTCCATGGACTAATGGAACGATACTCGCTTTAATAGCAAGAGGTTGCAGGTTCGAATTCCGTCAGAAACACTTTTTCATACAACTGACAAAAGGAACTTTTCGAGGGCTATGCTTGATACAGTACAAATTATAACAACATGTTCCTAGTCGAGCACTCTTCACGTGTTACATATTTTCTCTTCGGAGATCCCAGTGGCGGATTCATATGGAAGGAGGGGGGGGGGGGAATAGCCGCACCAAATTGAGAAAAATTGTATAGTCAAAGTCTGAGAAATTTCCGGCCATTTAAAGTTGCCATAAATTGTTTCCCAACCACGGTGGGGCTGAGCGGGTCAAGACCCTCTATCTGTGAATCTGTGATAGTCCCTTCGTGGGTTCCCTCTCTTTCATATTCGTAGGTCCACCATTGGATCCCATTTGCCGTGCTTAAAAAGAAGGCGAATCACAGACCTGTGTTTCATTGTGTGCGTCGAATAGTGAGTGTGAATATAGTGTGAAATCAATTTCCTCCAATTGGAATTCGAAGATCCCGGGTTCGAATTCTGACAGGTGTTTTTTTTTTCAAACTCGCAGATCTCTCTTCTTTATCGTTTACAATTATATATATCAGAATAATTAATAAATAAAAAAAGTGCCAAAACCATTAACCTAATGAGGTATACTAATAATGCATATTACAATGTACCAAAGTGACAAACACTCGTAGTAATTTTACGTCCACATATCTTTTTATGGTTCTGTATAGGCCTATGCGTTTCAAGGCGTGTGCTGTAACTTAGTGGTGGCGTAAGAGAGGAAAAGAAATATATACCCCTTCCTCTCCTCCCACTCGGTCTCAGAAGCCGAACCTCAGTCGTTCAAATATAATCTGTCAAGATTTGATTGATTTCAAAAAGGCAATTGATAACAATGCTATTCAGGTTAGGCAGAGTAAATCATTGGTCTGTTAAATATGTCTAAAACACGGGAGGCATTTAGCTCGTTTACTCGACTTCTATCTCTCTGTTGAGGGCTTAAGCTGGCCCACCACTGGTCGTCGTACATTTCTTATAAATATCAATGTCTAAAATGTAAAAAGTCTGAGTTCTCCATTTTGTGATTGGTTGTAATTAAGTGCGTATAGCTATTTTCAAAATCCAGACGCTTACTAAAAAAAAATACAAATAGATGCACAAAGGTGTGTGATCAGGTTCGATTTAAAAATGATACACACTTTAATAACAAATAAACGGAATGAAAACAGAGTGTATCGAGTTGTTTTGTTTTCCTAGTTAGGAATTCACAGACAAAAGCACACTATATAAATTTGGCTGACATTCCAGTTACGTTTGTTGAGTAATTTTTTAATGTAGTACATCACAATTGAGATATCTCAATAATTGTAATCAATGCACAAGTGAGAATCATTAATATCGTGGCAGGATTGCACTATTCAAACGTCAATCTAAATTTGGTTAATATTAGAGACGTCCAACCTTGTAATTATTATTACATTACTCTATCATGTTTATACTTGGTTCAATAAAAACCAGTGTTTGACAAGTGTAGGCCTAAAAGATGGGCACACAAAATGAAAAGGTATACAGAAGAACCATTTAATCTAAATTCGACTGAAAAACTGATAGGCCTACACGTATATTACAATGGTTTGGACATCTCCTGAGATCAGATGAAGATACATCGGCGCAAAAATAACCTGTTCGATTCAATGCGTGGACTCATAATCATAATTCATGACGTCACATAACTATTTACACGTAAACATTTATTTTAATTTTCTATTTTATTTCAAACATATTTATACAGGATTAAAACATATCAGGTGGTTGTTAAAGCCTGTTTTTCATATGATCCAGTTCAAACTTATACTAGAGTATATAACAAAATAGGCATATTAGACGTCACACTTTGAGTATTAGGACGAAGTTACTAATGCAGAGCCTCCGGATTTGCCCTGAAACAGCATTCGTCTTGCTCTTCGACATTTAATCTTCTCGAGAAAAGTTTAGAATTTCAATTATGATACGAATTCTATTTTTATATGATTCGATTATTTTGGAATGTTTAATCATGTAAGTCGATAGCGGTTGGTTTTTTTTTTCTCTGAAACAGTGAACTCTATATACGGATTCACACCCGTGCCCAGGTGTGTGGCAATCATTGTCAGGTCTGGATTTCAGTTTTGCACGCACATCCCCATGTCCCAAAATAAAACCAAAATATCATAAACGACAGTTTCCAATGAATTGAACAACCGGGCGAAATCACTATACGGACTAAGAATTCGCATTTTAATAGTAACATGGTTTAATGTATTCTCGACTGGCGTCTTTTTATTAAACTATTATTACTATCAACATTACTATTATTATTATTATTATTATTATTATTATTATTATTATTATTATTATTATTATTATTATTATTATTATTATTATCATAATTATTATTATTTATATCATTATTTATAATATTATTACATTTGTTATTATGATTTATTATAATTATTAATGTAATTAATGATTATTTATTATTATATTTATTATTATTACTACTGTTCTATAATTGAAATTAAACTGTTATTTATTTTATTATTATTGTTTATTATTATTGCTATTAATATTAATAATATTTTTATTATTACTGTTTATTATTATTTTATATGGTCATAGGCATATAATAATTGTCATGCGTGGCTACGTGTCGTTTCGAGTCAGGGTGGAAAACGCAGGAAGTTTAGGAAGCACTGAGTGATATAATGCGGGCTCATCGCAGCCAAGATGTTGAAGTTTGGGAATATCACTTAGTCTTGATTTCTAAAGTCCTTATAAGGACATTCATACCCGAAAACACCCGTGGGAAAACGACCTCATCCACATAAAAAAAAAAACAATTGAGAAAGTCAATACCGGTATCAATGTTGTGAAAAACCGGCGCCTCGGGCAAATTGACTAAAACTTATGTAAAAATGATAGCTGTTCCTACTGTCAAATTAATAAGCCGTTGCGGGCATAGTTTCGTTGGCATAAATATTCGATATAGGTTTATCCTGAAAGGTGTTATATCAAATACTAACATCAAGTAGTGCGTATAGGCTTCAATAAGTGTACGTATAATTACATCCAATCAACGAAGGGCCTTGTTTGATGTAGGATAGGCATAGACAATATTGGGTTAAAAAGGAGACAACGGCAATTTCAATTAAACGAGAGCACTTAAACTATTAGAACGGTTTAATTTCTGTGATCTTCTTGCTAGGTGTGAGATAGAGTTCTAAGACCTCGGGTTAAATCATGGTACATTTCCGCGCTACACCGCATCATTCTGATTGAAGTTCAATACGTTAATGGCAAAATAATATAAAAGCTAAGTATAGGTCTCGTTAAGCAAAGTACAAATTAAAAGGTTAAAATAGAATAATGTTTTGTACAACAGCCCCAGTAAATCTAGAGAAGTGAGGCTTAGCTATTGTCGTTGGTGATTTAATACGGGTATCAAGACTAGTGTGTTTTTGGCTTTATTTAGTATAGGCCTATACATACGGTATTGTAGGCCTATCACTTTGTGTAAGTAATACCGTGTTTGATGGCCTAATATTTGTTCATTAGAAGGCGTTTAATTAATAATCGTAAACTATTGAATAATGGGAACTGAGACCACAGCAGTTTGATTCGCAAGACATTTTGAATTAATGGAAAAGAGTGAAAACAAGATTGAAAGAGTGCATACAGTGATCACTCCCAATTGAAATAGATAGAGTGAAAAGAGTCTATATTCAGAGGGACTTTTAAAAATGTTCTCCATTTAAAAAATAGTATTCACTCATTTAAGCATGATCACTGTAGACACTCTTTTAGAGTGAAATTCACTTTTTTTTTATTAAGAGAGTTTAGGTAATATGGAAAATTGTTAATTATATGACAAGCTATAGAAGACAGAACCGGCCTATTTTCTTTGAGAGACCTTTACCTGACATACAGTAAAGACAGGACAAGGATAATAATTATAAAAAATAATTTATAATAAAATTATAATGATGACGATGATGTCGAATATTCGGTTGCACTTCTCCAATAGTCGGCAGATGTGTATAATCTTAACAATAAAATTGAAAAGTTTTCAGAAACTCTTTCTGTTATAAGAAACAATGAAAATGTGCTACCCTCACAGTGAAGGGTAATGATATTTTAAGATTATAATTCAAACGGTAGCCTACTCAACGGAGGTTCCTAATAAATAAAAAAATAAACATTTAATTACCCTGAGTGATTAAAATTTTCCATTTTGACCTACACAGGCCTACAATTGAAACACTCAAATTTGTATAAATATTAAACGATTATATGTATAATATAATTGAATTTTAATTTATAGATTTTAATTCTAATATTGGTCAATGGTCAATAGCTGTGCACTTGTATAGCGCATACATTCGTCTCG